CCAGGCCAAGCTTATGAGCACTGAATGGAACAAGCTTTGGAAAGGTCTGGAAGAGGATGAGCGCATGCGCAAGATCAACGAAGAGCTCGCTGTGAGTATGCACATGGGCTATCTTATATTGCGACTGACATGTCCCAGTACGTCTTCATTAGCCCGCACGCAGAGAACGGAGAGACCTTCGTGTTCATCAAGAAACACTCGGTAGGGCTGGACGCGCCGTTCGTTGTTGGTTTCGAGAGAGAAGCTATACACACCAATCTGGAACATACCAACAACACTTCCACACCGAACAGTCCCCGTTCCAGCACCGTCAAGAAAGACGAGTCCGATGAAAACAAGCTTCCAGCACCCGCGCCCGAACAGCGTATGCAGCACATACCGGGCAAGCCAGAGGAGCCTGTACCCTTCCAGTGGGCAACCGCCAAGAAGTCTGGTCGACCGCACAAAGCAGACAATTGGGAGGTAGAGCTCAGGAAAGGCGACAAGGTCAAGGTCATCTATGACCAGGGTCGTAACTGGTTCGTAGTCATCGACCGGAAGGGTTTCAAGGGTTATGTGCACGGCTCCTGGATCGAATTTGGTGACCTCACAGTGCACAAAGACCCCAAGGCAGTATACATCCAGTTTCAGCAAGACCTACAGAAGCTCCTCACACCCGGTCAGCTACAGCAATTTCCGGCGATGTCAAGCTACGTCGACGAGTGCACTAGGCCGGGTTGTCAACTACTCAAGGAAAAGATCTCGGTCTCGTCATTGGGCATCTGCATTCACGATCTGTCGGTACTGCTGCAAGGTTCCGGTAAATACTCGTACGAGTGGCTTAAAGAGACACGGAATCTCTGGCACCCGGACAGGTTTGCCCGCTTCTGCCATGCAGATCAGGTGGACGATCTCAAGCGCAAAGCAGAGAAGATGTTTGTCATGTACGGAGTCTTGATGGATATTAGCAAGGCCGAAGCGCGAGCGTAAAACCCAGGTGGCTTCGTTCGATATTGACACCCCATTCAAGGGGAAAACTGGACACCTAGCTCTTCAAAGTACTACCATTGAAAAAACGTTTGAGGTTACAATACCTTACTACGTTACAGAAATACTTTCTTAAAGCCAATGTAGGCTGCAGGCCACCTGTCCGATGTTCTCTTTGAATGTGGTGTTGCGGACCCGCAGAGGGTTAATGAATACACAGGACTGAACCATGTTTAAGAAGTCGCGTTGCTTGTTTTGCCTGTTCGGACCTTAGCACCCTGAGTGGTACGTAATAACGCCCGGGCACACGCGAGTCGCGGAGCAAAAGTTTGGCGTCGGCGGGTTCTGATCTTTTTCCGGGGTCCAGAGTGCTATCGGACGCGCCAGACTGAGTCATTGGAAACATACATAGAAATGCGTATCAACACGTCGCGCCGTGCATCCTAGACTTGGTAAAGATACGCAGACAGGATTGGTAGGACGATGAAAGTATATCCGATCTGCGGCGGACGCGTTGGAGTTCTCGCCCGTGGCTTTCCGCAAGCTGGAGCTACCCCGCTGAGAAAATATTGGTGCTCGACTGCTCCCCGCCAACTATATACCGTCGTCAAGACTGCGCAGACCTCGAGGCACTTCTCCAGCACACGCTTCACCATGGCTGGACAGAAGATTGACGGCACCGCCATTGCCAAGAGCATCCGCGAGAGGCTCGGCCAGAAGATCAAGGAGAAGCAGGAGAAGAACCCGCGATACCGCCCGAGCCTGAAGATTGTCCAGGGTGAGTCGCATCCCATTGCGGCGGGCTGATACAGGCAGAGTGCTGACACGCGACAGTGGGCGACAGGTCCGACTCCAGCACCTATGTGCGCATGAAGCTCAAGGCCGCCGAGGAGGCCAACATCGACTGCGAGCTCGTCCATCTCCCCGAAGACCTCACCGAAGGCGAGCTGCTGTACAAGATCTACGAGTACAACAACGACCCCGCCGTCCACGGCATCCTCGTCCAGCTGCCCCTCCCCAAGCACATCTCCGAGCACACCATCACATCCGCCGTCGCCGACGAGAAGGACGTCGATGGCTTCGGCATCCAGAGCATCGGTGAGCTGGCCAAGCGCGGCGGCAAGCCTCTCTTCACCCCGTGCACGCCCAAGGGTGTCATGGTTCTGCTCGAGGAGGCCGGCATCGACATCTCTGGCAAGAACGCCGTCGTACTGGGACGCAGCGACATTGTGGGAAGCCCCGTCAGCTACCTCCTGAAGAATGCCGACGCGACCGTCACCGTCTGCCATTCGCGTACGGCCGATCTACCAGAAGTCGTTCGCCGCGCAGACATCGTAATCGCTGCTATCGGAAAGGCGCAGTTCGTCAAGGGAGACTGGCTCAAGCCCGGTGCCGTCGTCATCGACGTTGGCACCAACTTCATCCCCGACGACACCAAGAAGAGCGGACAGAGGCTGGTAGGAGACGTCGACTACGACTCCGCCGTCGAGGTAGCTTCGCACATCACCCCGGTACCGGGCGGTGTAGGCCCCATGACCATTGCCATGTTGCTACAGAACCTCGTCGATTCGGCCGACGCGACTTTCGACAGGCAGAAGAAGCGCAAGATCTCGGCTCTTCCCATCCGCATCGAAGACCCCATACCCGCCGATCACGAAATCTCGCGGAAGCAGCACCCGAAGCAGATCACAACCGTAGCGAAGGAGGTTGGCATCCTGCCACACGAGCTCGAGCCATACGGCGCAACAAAAGCCAAGGTCGATCTGTCCCTGCTGAAACGACTCGAACACCGCCGCAACGGAAGGTACGTCCTCATCGCCGGTATCACTCCCACGCCGCTCGGCGAGGGTAAGTCGACCACCACGATCGGTGTCGCGCAAGCATTGGGCGCGCATCTTGGCAGGATATGCTTCGCCAACGTGCGTCAGCCCAGCATGGGACCGACTTTCGGTATCAAGGGCGGAGCTGCTGGTGGAGGTTACAGCCAAGTCATCCCCATGGACCAGTTCAACCTCCATCTTACTGGTGACATCCACGCCATCACCGCCGCGAACAACCTGCTCGCCGCTGCTATCGAGACGCGCATGTTCCACGAGAACACCCAGAAGGATGCTGCTCTGTACAAGCGTTTAGTGCCAGCCAAGAAGGGCAAACGCGAGTTTGTGCCCGTCATGTTCCGTCGTCTCAAGAAGCTCGGTATCGACAAGACGAACCCAGATGATCTGACCGAGGAGGAGATCTCCAAGTTCGCCAGGCTTGACATCGACCCAGAGACCATCACCTGGCGACGTGTGCTAGATGTCAACGACAGGCATCTGCGTAAGATCACAGTCGGTCAAGCGCCAACAGAGAAGGGCCAGACTCGCGAGACTGGCTTTGACATCTCAGTCGCCAGTGAGTGTATGGCTATCCTTGCGCTCAGCAAGGACCTGTCGGATCTTCGCGAGCGTCTTGGTAGCATGGTCGTTGCCAGCTCACGCGCTGGTGACCCTGTTACCTGCGACGACATCGGTGCTGGCGGTGCTCTGACTGCTCTGCTTACTGATGCCATCAAGCCCAACATGATGCAAACCCTTGAGGGCACTCCCGTCTTCGTTCACGCTGGTCCCTTCGCAAACATCAGTATTGGTGCCTCTTCCGTCATCGCAGACAGGCTTGCCCTCAAGCTGGCCGGTACTGAGCCTGATGAGGACCATGACGCCCAGACCGGATTCGTTGTGACCGAGGCTGGCTTCGACTTCACCATGGGTGGCGAGCGCTTCTTCAACATCAAGTGCCGCTCCTCCGGTCTCGTGCCCGACACTGTTGTCATTGTCGCGACCGTCCGTGCTCTCAAGAACCACGGTGGTGGCCCCGACATCAGCCCCGGCGCCCAACTGCCTGAAGTCTACCGCACCGAGAACGTTGACATTCTCCGCGCTGGTTGCGTCAACCTCAAGAAGCACATTGAGAACGCCAAGCAGTATGGTGTTCCCGTCGTTGTAGCTATCAACCGCTTCGCCACCGATACCCAAGCCGAAATTGACGTGATCCGCGAGGAGGCCATCGCTGCCGGTGCTGAGGACGCTATCCCCGCCAACCACTTTGCGGAGGGTGGAAAGGGTGCCGTAGACCTTGCAGAGGGTATCATCAAGGCCTCTGCCAAGCCCAAGCCCGACTACAAGCTTCTCTACGACGTCAACAGCGGTACAGTACAAGAGCGCATGGAGACCATCGCCAAGAAGATGTACGGTGCTTCCGCTGTCGAGTTCTCCGAGCTCGCCCAGAAGAAGGTCGACACCTACGTCAAGCAGGGCTTCGGCAACCTGCCCATCTGCGTAGCCAAGACACAGTATTCTCTGTCTCACGACCCCAGCCTCAAGGGCGCCCCAACTGGCTTCACCGTCCCCATCAGGGACGTCCGCATGGCAGCTGGTGCTGGATACTTGTATGCGCTCGCAGCAGATATCCAGACTATTCCTGGTCTGCCTACTGCTCCCGGATACCTCAACATTGATGTCGATGTTGAGACCGGCGAGATCAACGGCATGTTCTAGACTATGATGGAACAAAAGGTGTACAGCCCCGAGTGAAGCGTTCAACAAGCTTCATTTGGAACAATCATGTATGATGAGACGACGTTTGGCGTTTTCGGCGCACTAGGCATGTTCAACAGCATCTGGGTGGGCTTCTTATTCAACACATATTGGGACGGTATGCATAGCGTTTGGTATGGCGTCGAATCAACTTTGACGGTTTCCTCTTTGCCAGGATAAATTATCCTCATTGAATAGAGAAGCATACTCTGACTTTCAGAATTATCAAGAGACGTGCTGTCGAGATGATTGATGTAAACTGCACATGACATACCCCACTGACCCAGCTGATTTTCGTAGATGGGCGCAAGCTATGCTGTGCAAGCGTGCTTGACTGCCACAGCATGTCCAGTTCTCGTGCGCAGGCAGCAAGCAACTCGCATTCCCACACATATAGAAGAGCTACCCGTGTACACCTGGACCTACCGTCATTCCTCAAAATATCAGACATTCAACAAGATGACCGACACTCAAACCTCATCAGGATCGACTGAACCTGTCAAGCCCACCATGATTGGACTCTACGGAATCCCTGGAAGCGGCAAGTCATATCTGCTAAAGCAACTAAAGAACGACAACGACTTCGCATACCAACACTTCACTTTCTATGATGGCTCTTCGCTCCTGGAGAACGTCGTGGACGGTGGATTGGATGCTTTCAAGAAGATGAAGGATGAACAACAGTACGAGGCCCGCGAACAAGCCCTCTCCCTCGCTGCCGTTGAGTGCCAGGCGTTCGCCAACACAGGGGTTGTTGCGGGCCATTACATGTTTTGGCAGGCAGGAGATATGGACGAACCGAAGAGAGTGGGTACAGAGAAGGACTGGGTAACTTATACACACATCATCTATCTTATGGTCGACCCAGAGATTGTTGCCACGCGTACCAAAGAGGACAAGATCAGAGAGCGCAAACAACTTCCGGTTGAGCACCTACGGAAGTGGCAAGAAGCCGAGATAACGGAACTTCGTGCCATCTGTGGGGATAACGGTATACTATTTACTACAATCACCGAGACGCCAACCACAGCTTCGGGACGAACTGGAGAGCGACTCGCAGCACTGTTGAACAACTTCCAAGGCCATGATGAGGCTGCAAATACTGCTGCAGTTGAGGAGGCCGTTGATAACGCGCTTCGTGGCCAAGAAGATCTAGATACAGTGCTTCTGCTCGATGCGGACAAGACTCTAGCTCCTCACGATACTGGACTGATGTTCTGGAAGGACACAACTCTCTCAGGCGGCTCTGCAAAGTGTCCTTTGACTGAGGTCTTCAAGAAGGGTTACTCGTATGCAGCCTTCCGGCAGACCATGCTCCTCTACGAAGAGAAGGCAGATGACTTCGATGCCACATGTGCTAGTGTCGCGGCCAAAGTTCAAATGTACCCCGATATGATCGAGATGCTCAAACGTGCTGGAACTACACCGCATGTGAACGCACTCATCGTGACATGTGGTATCCGCCGAGTGTGGGAGCTAGTCTTGGAACGCAACAACTTGACACACATCAAGGTCATCGGAGGCGGACAAATCTCCGACGGCTACGTCGTGACTGGAGAACTCAAAGGTGCCGTCGTCGACCATCTCCACAAGAAGAAGCTACGCGTACTAGCCTTCGGCGACAGTCCCCTCGACATGACTATGTTCCACAAAGCGGACGGCGCATACATCATAGTAGGAAAGGAAGCCACCCGAAGCTCATCCATGGAGAAAGCCCTCGCCAAAGCCATCAACAATAACAACCTATCCGCTCTCCAGGTCCTCCTCCCACCCAGCGTCCCTCCACGTCTTGATCTCAATGCCCTACCCAAAGCCGTCCTAGACACCACAGAACTAGACCACATCTTCCGCGTTCACAGCGATCCATCAACTCGCTTCGTGCATGCAACCAGCCAGCCCTCCGCAAAGCTTCTCATGACACCAACCCGGAACGCGACAAAGCAGTCACACAGCCTACGCAAAGCGCACGAGCGTGTGGGCTACCACCTTGCAACCTCGTACCTAAGCACCATCACCGGCCTAGAAGAAATCGTCATTCCGCATGTCCAAGGCGGGGTCACAGACGGCTACCGCTTCCGCCACGAAAAGGCCACCTTGATCATACCTCTGATGCGCGGTGGCGAACCCATGGCCTTCGGCGTCAGCAAAGCGCTTCCCGGCGCGGCATTTGCCCACGCGAAGGTCTTTTCTGACATCGACCCCAAGAACTTCGAGGGCAAGCATACGATCATCCTCGTTGACTCTGTCATCAATACCGGCAAGTCGATTGTGGAGTTCATGGTGCCGTTGAGGGAGATGTGTCCACGGGTTAGGGTTGTGGTCGTCGCGGGGGTGGTGCAGGAGGGTGCCGTTGTAGTCAAGGAAGGAGCAGAAGGGGGTGATGGAAATGTGTTTGCGGAGATGTTGAGGGATGATAAGGAGTTATGGGTTGTGGCGTTGAGAAAGAGCGGGAATAAGTACAAGGGGAAGGGGGGTACGGATACGGGGCATAGGTTGTTTGGTACAACGAAATTGGATTGAGGGGTGGAATGAGAGATGTAGCATGGGGTCAGAGAAGGACAGTTGAGATTGAGAGAGTAGAGTAGGCAGTTCAGAATGGAGTTTCTTCTAGGCAATGTTCATGCTGGGATCTGCAAATGAAAGTGAGAAGTTTTTTTCGTCTTCGAATACAAGTGTGGTAGAGCTCTGAGGCATTGATCAAGACCAGTGTCGACATGTAATTACAATAACGGTATAAATAACGGGGGTATCTAACGAATGTCCTCAGCGACACAGAACAGGAAGCAGCTCTCTATCTCTAACAAGCGCCGTTGAAAACATACCCTTCCAAGAAAGAGAAAAGAACGCGTCTAAACCCTCTACCCTGCCCAGCCAGAATGCCCTTTCAAAGCTTCCCCTCCAACTCCCCCATCCACTCTTTCAACTCAACCCTCTTTCCCCCATCCTTGACAAGCACCCTCCCAAACCACCCTAGAAGATCAAACCCAAGATCCCTACTTAACCCCTGCACCCTCTTCAAGTTCCTCACCCCCAAATCATCATGCCCCATGACCTGCAGCGGACACCCCGCCTTGATCATCTCCCTCTGCTGATACTTGTTCCCCTTGAACGCATCATACGGCGAGCCACCCAGGATAAGAAACAGGAGCGTGATAGCCAGGGACCAGAGATCTGAGGTCGCGGAAGGTGGCGAGGTAGAAGAGGAGCTGAGCAGTGAGGGGTCGAGATAGTCCCATGTCCCTGCGCCGAGGGGAGACGCGGAGGATTCGATGGTGGCGGAAGGGTGGGAGAGGATAGTTGAGGAGAAGTCTGTGTAGATGGGTTTGGGCGCGGCGGTTGATAAGGGAGAAGAAGAGGAGATGAGAATATTGGAGGGTTTGATGTCGGCGTGGGTACACCCTTTGTCTTGCATCCATGCCAAGCTGTTGAGCAGTGCGAGGGCGATGCTAGGGAAGACTTCAGCCAGTCTCGCTGCTCGAGCCTCTTCGTCGAGCGTGTTGAGCGTCTTTTGGATCCAGCCTTCCAGCGTGTCGTCCATGGCTTGGAGGAGGATGGCACCGTTGCGGGTGTCTAGGCCGTAGAAGGGAACGATGTGGTTTTCTGCGTCGGGGAAGCGGGAGAGGTAGGATAGGATTCTTGCTTCTGCGCTGAGCACCTTTTTGGCGCTGGTCATGGCTGGTACTTTTACTGCGTACATAGGTGGGGTGACGGGGAGTCGACTGAGGTCTACGACAGAGTCTATGCTTTGGACTGGGGTGAGTGGTGGAGTCATTTCGGGACCACAGGGAGGCTGTGATGAGGACTGTTCTGTTGGTTTAGGAGGGCAGGGTTTCGCGAGGAAGACATCGCTCCAGGCTCCTTCGCCGATGGTCTTCTTCCGCCCACGATCGTCCGTCTTGAACTCATAGTCGGTTAGGTGATACGGAAAGGTGGTGAGTTCGGTGCTGCCAGGTTGCGGTGACTCGTCCAGTGACAGTCGAGGCCGGCTGAGGGACGATATCGAATCGCCACGTCGTAGACTCGATAACGAACTTAGAAAGTCGGACGATGTCGAGTTGGACTTGGAATGCGAGGCGCTGCCGGGTGTGATAGGAGGAGTGACGGCACCACTGTTGTGCATGCCTCGGGGATCATGCGCACCCATAGTTACAGATCTTTTCCTTGTCGGAGAGGTCGGTGGTGTAGAAAGCGTTCGTACGGCAAACGGTCTTGAGAATGTCTTGTCAGCCGCACCGATCGTATGACCTTGGCTTGATGCGCTGTCCGTCAGCAGGTGAAGTTGGGGTTGTTGCCTCTTCTGCGTGAGTGGTGTCGCTGGTGATTCGACTGCCGGCGGATCTTCCCTTGAAGCAGGGAAAGTGAACCGTGAAAGTTGCGCCATGTTCGTTTTACAGTAAGAGTTGCTTGACGATGTTCAAGTTTGACAAGTCACGCGGTACAGTTACAGTGTGCGTGTAGCGCGTGGAGAACTGTTGCCTGAAGCTTGAAGCAACAGCGCGTGAGGGAAAGGTCCAGGGAACTTGAAGAGACGATGCGAAACAGGAACAGATTCTCAAACAAGACAAGAAACGTTGCAAAGCAAAAAAGGCGAGTGGACGTCTCTTTTTGATCGGGGCGTGTCAAACCTGGGTCTGGAACCGAGAGATGGGAACCAACAAAGAAAGGGAGATAGTATAGTGCTACAGGTAAAGGTACACGAGATAAGAGGACGGATCCACAAGCAGGCTATCGCGCAACCTACTAGAGAGTAAGAAGCATTGTCGATGATAGTCGCAATAAAACGATGGGCGGCGCGTGCGGAAGGCCCGCAGCCAAAGCGTTGTTGGCTGTGTGTCGATGAGTCGAAAAGCGATCGGGACCTGCAAACGGGTCTATAAGCAAAGAACAGCGCTGCGCCCCGGAGTATCCGGGGACGACGGGTGGCACTCGTGGAATCCCTACCCGTACCAACGCGATAGCAATCTTAGCCAGCGCTGTTGGACGCCGATGATTCGGTGGGGGGAAGAGACAAAGCGCATCCCCTGGGAACACCTCCGTGATTCCAGAAGCGCACCCATTCACACGTCTTTCCTAGCCGGGTGGTCGCGCAGCTGGCTAATGGCGGTAGCGCACAAATGGCGCGCTGTCCTTGGCTACGGGTCCCCAATTGCTGGCCTGCATTGGGTGAACGTGCGTGGTTTGATTGGGCTGCGCGACCTCACCATTCCCCATCCAGGGTTTGCCTTTGTGTGCGACACGTTTGGCTGCGTGCCATGCCTCGCGCTCTCTGCTTGGATGGACATGCGAAACTTGACGTTTTTGCTCGGAGCTTTTCTGGAGACTTTCGGTGCTTCTTTTCTGTGACGTCGTTATTAACACCGTGGCTGGTGGAGATGGGCTGCGGCACTTGTCGCACTTGTCACAGCTAAGTCATGAGATCGTGAAGGCTGTGGAGCTATCGTGAGTTATCGCTAGCTTGTCGTTGGCTCACATCGCTGGTGTATCTTTTGACTGCCGTCCCGTCCGAGCCACCATGACAGCGAAACGTGGAGATGAGCTGAGCGGCTGAAGATCATCTACTACATGCTGTCATCACCGAAAAGATTCATCCTGCATCGTGACCTTCGTTATACCTTCTTTCGTCAGCGCTTACTGTGAAAACTGGGGCAACTCCGCCGACACCCCTGCTCTGCGCTTGCGGCTTCAAGCATCGTGAACAAACTACCCCGGATGAAATGCCGGTAGCTCAATAAAGTGTTTTTTGTTGACGTAGCTGAGCTTCAAGCTTTCGATCCAAGACTAGGGCAACGGGCGTGGGCTTATCGACCGCACGTATAGTTCGCGGATTGCGCTAGATGAGCACACGGCTGTATGTGGGGGCTATTGAGCTACTGCTCAACTGCACATCGGGTGATTCCTCAAGCCACCCGTTCACCAAAACGTGGGAGTCATCCTCAGATCCATCCTGTTGATATCGCGCACGCCAGATTAGGCATGTACAACGCTGATAAGCGAAATTTGACAGCCCAATCTACCAACCTCGAATAGCCGCCATGCACGAGAGTGGAGCCCAACCAAACCTCACGCTGCGAACCATCAGATCTGTATACTTAGGGGTTAGCCATCCTTCGGTTCAAAAAAACTCCTGGGTCAAATTTGCTTCTTATCAAGTCCACGGTAGGTGCGAAGAGAGAAGATAGATCAACTTGAATAATCGACGATTCATTGCTCTGCTACTCTATCTCCTCACCGAGCCACCGCCGATCGACTGACCGTCCTACGCTGGACCACGGTACTATGCTGCGAACGAAAACGCTGAAGGGAATTGGTAATAGTCTTCCGCTGCGCCCATTGCTTGAACAAAGGAGATAATGACACCCATACACAAGGAGAAAAGACAACCGATGAAGTGCTAGAGGTAGAAAGACTACATATATACGAGATGGATATAGGTATTATCATCCTCCATGCTGATCAGTCAACGGGAAACCCAAAAGTACAACTCTCTGCCCAACCGGCGCAGAGAGATCGAAGTAAAACGCCGGCTTCATGATGGGTAATCGTATGATTGCGCCCTTTGCACTGATGCCATGTGAACCCATTTCGATTGATGATTACAGTATATTGGTATGGATACCCAAGATATGCACAAAACGCATAGATAGCTCAGAACCTGTTTTGTTGATTTTGACTTTGCTGTTGCTGAGCGACCGAGGAGCGATGATACGAATCGATGATTTGGCCCACCTGCTCCTCGTGCTCGCTCTGGCGTCAATGTTCGTATCCTGCGCCTCGTTGCCATGGGCTCGAGGTGTTGGCCTGTCGGTACTGTTGTTGACCTTGGCCATTGCTACCAGGACGGTATGAGGGTGCCGGGCTACGGCGCTCGTAAAAGGACGGCGGTGCTGGTGAAACAGTACCGTCATTACCTTGGCTACGTGGTGGCACGGCAGCGTAGTGCTCGTTGAATCCACCCTCCTTGGCAGCCATTTGGCGCTGCTCTTCGGAAGAGTAGTCGTCATCGTCGTCAATACGGCTTCGTGATCCGGTGTATGGGTGGGTGCCCTTGCCTTCACCACGGGCAGTCGCACCGAGTGCGTCGAGCTCAGTGGTTAGCTGAGTTTGTGACTTGATGAAGGAGCCACGGTCGTCGCGCATTGGCTGGTAGCGGGTGTCGGGGTTCTTGGTGAACAGAGCGAATCCAGACGAGACAAGAAGCATGAGAAGGAGGATCAGGGCGAAGGCGGCATTAATGATGAAGAAGATGACACCCATGACACCAGTGACGATAGCCTACAAACGTTAGTCGTGAACAGTGGTAGAAGTGAGCGCTACTTACAGGCTGGTTGAAGATCTCGGTGAACATCAACAGGAAGAAGGCGCTGAGGAAGTTGACAGCAGCAATGGCGATGTTGAAACCATTGGTCTTCTTGTCCATCCAGGGACGAAGGACACATACACCAACAAGCAGAGCAGCCTCGATGAGAACAATGGCGATGGCCTGAACCTTGAAGGCACCTTGCGCAAGACCGACAAACATGGCCTTGATGAGGAGGTATCCGAGCCATGGGATGATGAACCAGTAGGCGGCCGCCTTGAATTGAACGTAGAGGAAGCCCCACTTGTTGAGCGCAACAGGGTCCGAGTAGAGGATGTATGCAGGGTTCTTGTGCATGGCGATGGAGCGTTGGGCGATTCGGACCACCTTGGAAGAAGCCCATGCGAGGATACCAATCATGGTGAGCATAGAAAGGATAGCCAGAACGACCAGACCAGCAGAGTCACGCTTAGTTAACTCCCAGAAGCTCAGCATCATCATCTGCGGGAAGCCAATGAGGACGACACGGAAGAGAATACCCTTGAGCACAGTCTGCCAGCCGTTGCGGAAGTCGACGAACTTGTCGCCCTTCATCTTGCCGGCCTTGACTAGGCCCTCGCAGATGTACTTGAAAGCCACGACACCGATGACGGTAAAGAGGACAAAGATGACGAAGAAGGTGTATCCGGTGAAGAAGATGTTGGTCGTTTCAATCTTGGCCTTGAAACCAACACGCTCGATGCCGTGGAGAACCAAGCGGTCTCCTCCAGCCTGTGCCTCGGTGGCGGCAGCGTTACTACGGGCCATAAGGCGACCGACAGCTCCGGTGGTGAAGTCGAGCGCACGCCTCATCTTCCTCTTCTTCTGGACCTCAATGGAGATGTACGACAGCTGGGACAGGTAGGTGGTCGGGCTTCCGCCAGTAGCACGCTGGTACCACGTTGCCATATCCTGAAGGAATTGAACACGGATGATACCCATGGTCCATTGGAAGTTCTGGGTCCAGGCGGAGACGATGGGTGGAAGAGGGACAGCGCAGAGACCGATAAAGGCCTGCGCTTGAAAGTAACCGAATAGCGACATGGCGTTGGCGGCAACGTGCGCGGCGGTGTTGGAATGTCCCAGTCCAGACGTTATAGCGGAAGCCATGAGACCCAGACCCGCTATGACAGCCGTCACCCATGCCACAGCCTTCTGGTCAACCGAATGTCCGTTTGACAGCTCTGCTTCTACACATGCGAGTTGTTGATGGGTCTCTGCAGACCTGATCTTGACTCGTACGACTGCGTCGAGATCGGGGATTGTGTATGCGATGCCTGTGTGGTGTTAGGGGGGTTGGGCAGCAACTTTGGACAATTCTTACCTGGGATGACGCTCATGATGTCCTGGCTAATGTCGATGTTGGATTTGATAGTCAACGGTCCGGCGTTCATTGGGCACATGCCCTCGAGCTCCTTCTGACCGCAGGGGTCGAGCTTCTCGTTCATGGCGGAGTATCCGTAGACGAGCAGTTCGATGTCGGCCTCAATCTTGCCGGCAATGTTGGAGATACCCTCGATCTTGAAGCCCAGACTGCGGTTGCTGGGGGTGAATGCGACGTTGAAGAGGGTGGCGGAGAAGCTGGAGTTGGACATGCACGGGTTGAGCGACTTGGATTCGATGATGCGCTCGCCCGAGACGACGGGCGCCGCGATGGCTGCGAGCCATAACAGCGACTTGGAGAGGGAGAACTTCATGGTGGGCGGTGTTGTGGTGGTGTATTAGGTGCGCGGAGCGAGGTACCTCAGGCGCGGGCGTACTCCTTACGAGTACTGCGGAGGGAGGTCGGCCAAACCAGCGGCGCGAGGGAGTCCGTCAGTCACAGTGAATGGGGTTCGTTTGCGTCCTGTCGGGGTGAATAGAAGGGGTGGGTGCGGGTGAAGGTGCGGGTGAGCGAGTGGCAGTCGAGAGCGACGAATGGGCGGTGATGTCGAAAGAGGCGGTTGCGCAGGACAACTGGGGAAGGGAAACCGGGAAGCAGCGAGGCGAAGAGGCCTGTCTGTCGGCGGCTGGGCGACGCTAGGGCTAGTACAAGGGGATATGTGTAAACGACCGGACGGGCGCGATCAGCACTTGCACGCAACCCAATGAAAATGAATCAGCTCGCTCTCGTCGTCACCTAACGCTGGTGTTTGGAAAGTGCCTGAGGAGCGCAGGAGATGGGGCGGATGGTAAGAGGATGCCAGCTCGCAGGAGCTGAGGTCTATGCACCGCGTGCCGGCTGCTTCAGGGGAGCGAGACTGCGACGGTCGCGGCGAGTGGGCCAGATGAATACGCGCGGCACCTGCTCAGCGCCCAGCCTCAGAGCATCCAACGGCTGTCAAGTTTGCGATCGCAAAGAACAGTCGGAGATATTCCTGCGCGCGCTATGCTCTGCTGCTCTGAATTCCTCAACACTTGCTTCTCTCCAAGACGCCTTTGTCTTCGCAGGCCCCAGAACGCGCGCCTTCTTCTTTGACCAAGCTGGAACACTCGGATGAGGCAGGGGCGAGGGGGCAGGGGCACTTGCTTCGCCACACTCGCACGCAGGAACAATCTCGTCGGGCCAATCAACACGACGCTCTAGGCCTCTTCTCGCGCTGACTGAAAGTCTGCCAGCCAGGTCCGCCCAGCTCTTCGTATTTCCTCTAATTTTATTGCCGTATACGCGCGAAACCAACATTTCACTCTTCCAGCCCATCCCCGCCCGCTGCACATTACCGCTCCCTGAAGGATGTCAATATTATGCCATCCGGAATCCTGCGGCACACCAAGTCTGGACTGTCTGGCCAGCGACCCCATCCGTGCTCTCGGCACCAGCGGATGGCTGCACGCAAATAGACTACACCCAGCCTCTCCAGCCAATCATGCCAATCATGCCGCATCGGACTGTGGCGCACTTGGCCAGCGAGGTCGATGAGCCGTCGACTCGCTGCAAGCGGCGCCATCTTCACCACATCGAGATGCACAAGACTACACTTCAGCGTAGTCTGCCTGCTGTTTCTGGGCGCTGGGCACTACGGCATCTCCATCCGCAGCTTGCGTAATGTCCTCACGTGGCATCGGTGTAAACATCATTGTTTCCACCTCACCACTTCGGCCCTCTGTGGACTGAAAGTGTTTACCCAGCCACCACTCACCACTGTATCACCGGACGATCATCATTCAAGCCATGCGACAGACGTCATGAGCCCACCTGCGCAACGCGTGTCTGCGAACGATCAACGAACGTCTCACCCACATCTGAAACACGCGATCTGCCCATCTACCTCAGAGATTTCCGGCCCGCTCACATCTATCGATACACTTTGCGCAGCCTCATCTTCTAACCTTTCGCACTGGACTGACCCTGAAGATCGTCATCTTCCCTATGCGCGCCTAGCGGTGGAGCTGCCCCACCAACAAGTGGGCGCGAACGCGTAACCGGACGTTTGACCAACATCAACAAACCTGCATCAACGATCTTACCGACGTTCTTTGTGATCTTTTGTTTGACGGCAACTCTCATCAAAATCGCGGATGCTCGTAGAAGATACTCAAGTTCTCTGACTTACTTCACCAGGAGAAATGAAGCTGCCTGACGTGACTAGCAACGGGTTGTACCAAAGTCTGTGGATTTCCTTCTCTTCTCTCTTTCATTTCGTGCGTCGGAATTTGCAATTCGTCTCAAGACCTGACTGCGACGGTTGGACGTCTTCGAAAACCCGTTTCTCAGATCTGGGGTTTCTACCAGCTAAACAACACCTGACTAAGAAGCTTGTATCACGCCCCGCACGCGGCATGGCTTTTGCAAAGCCGGTGCCTAGCACAACCGTCTTTTATGTATGAAGATCTGTGGGCAAGACTTTAGATGTTTTGTGGTTACTAGTATTTCTCTTCGCTCCAATGCCCATCTAGGAGTCTATTGCCCAATATGTCTGCAAAACCTCCATTCCCCATCTTTAACCCAGGTATCCCAGCCGAAGGTCCGACGTTTCGCCCCTTCTCACGACTCCCGAAAGAACTCCGATCATTGATATGGCGACACGCCATCCGGCGTCAGCGCATCGTTAAAGTCGACATCTCCAGTCCCTGGCTAGCAGATCCATAACCTTCCTAGAACGTTTAGGAGATGCGTTTCGTGGCAACGCCAAAATACTTGCAGAGTGTGGAAGCAGCTACCTCGTTACACTTTACGGGTACCAGATCCTCAGCAAGTACTTTCGTGTTTGTCAAGCTTCTCGACGAGAAGCTTTCCTCTTTTACCGCGTACGCATCCCTTGCCGATTTGTACGATGGCCAGAGAAGGCTTCGCTCCATATGATGCGGGTGTTAATGAATGCTAAGGCCAGAGAAGCAGGTAAAGATGATCCAGCATTGACATCAAACTGGCCACCATTGAAGGATTTCAACATCCCAAGCACCCTTTGCTTCAACCTCGAATGGGATTTCCTCGCTTTCTCGGCTTGGCCAAATGGACACGAGGGGCCTCTCGTCGGCCAGTTTCTACATGACCTGCTACGATTTCTTCATAGGTATGTTGTAACGTTGTGCACCGTGGTCTGATCAAGGCTGGATAAGACTCGCTCTGAAGAGAGTACCAAGGAGAAACCTGGCAGTTGGGATAGCATATCAAATATTTTCTAGTCGACAACCTTGTTCTAATTTACATTGACGCTGCGTCAAATCCTCCACTTGCGGGATTGGGAAGATGCAGACGCAGGTGTTTGTTTGCTCCTCCGTCCGCGGCGGTGTGTGGGCGTTTGGTGGTATGCAAGCTCCCGCCCTTCACTTCCCATTCCCCCACCAGCGAGCAAACGGATGTGCGCACGTGCGTTGAATACCGACTATTCTTGATAGTTGCACTTTGGATACATTGCTCTCTCATACTATCAAGTACCCAAGTCCAAGATGCCGCACGCCATCACTGCCTTGCAGCTCAATACCGATGGCCCTGACAATCACGACCAAGCCGATCTTCAACTACTACTAAAGAACAAGCTTCGCGGCGTACCGGCTACCCACCTCCCCGTAGTCACCCTCGTGGACATTCTCGACCAAACCCCGCGAGCGCTCGATATCCCCAACATACCATCAGATATCCAACTACCCTTCTTCCTCCACAACCGTGTCGTCATCGACCGCTACGCGAGCAAGCCCATCAAAGATGAAGAAAAACAGAGTATGGAGATAACGCGAGCGATCTGGTTCTACCGACTCGACGAAGCGCACCAATTCCAACGTTTCCACGACATCATGAGGTGGAACACTGCGATCTTCGTTGCGCTGTTAGCTCAACACTCACAGTCTAGCGATCAGCGTCAATCCTCACATGGCGAAGCAGGAGCAGTTGATCGTCGTCCTGGAGCCATAGACTCCTACCGCCCCGGACGGGTTACCACTCCCACACACGCACGTATCCCTCCCGCAGCCATTCGTTTCATAAAACAATACCTCGCCGCCGTCATCGAACACCACAACACGCCCACTTCCAGTTTTGTCGCACGAGAGTCCTTCATCCTGACATGGAAAACTGGACCCTGGGAACTGTTCACGAACTTCGGGGGTGCGCAGAAGAAGTTGCTGAAGAACGCTATGAAGAAGCTTAGTAAAGAGTGGGAGGCAGAGTTGCGTGTTGCAGAGTCACAGTTGGGTAGGGAGCGGTACGAGAGGAAGGTTGGCAAATTTGTTGGTGGGGTGGTGCCTGGAAAGAGGGAGACGGGTGTGCGTGCTGAGGAGGTGAAGAGCGCGGGTAAGGATGTCGACAACGCAAATCTGGTGTTGCCTAACCGGGGAGAAGGCGAAGGAAATAGTGGTAATGAACTGTTGCAGGCGCTTCTGACTCCGTACGTACCGCAGACCAATGAGGCTAGGGGGCAGGATGGAAAGGGAGTCAAGAGTGGTGTGGTTGAGGTCGAAGGGACACTCGTCACGGATGTAAGATCTGCTATTGCGGCTTTGCAGACGATGGAGCCGAGTGCCATTCTACCGGTGCTTATCCGCTTGTTTCCGGAATAGATGTATGTCTTGCGCTGGGGGTTCGATACACACAGCCAGAACTGCATGGGTCTGGATAGAAGGCCGAGAGGGTCTTTCTATAGATTTCGGGTTCTTAGAGGCGGAGATGAATGTACCCGGTTAGAGGAAATGGCCGCGCTTATGTGCCTACAATGGCTAGTCAGTCCGAACAAATAAGTCATCACCTGAGAATACAGGATGTGGTATACGTTCAAACAAATGAGATTCGTAAGTCTATATCGGTATCTACTAGTCATACACCGCTCATTAACCTTTCCATTACCATCTTTCCATCCAAAGCCATCCATTTACTGGGGCTTAAGCACACCACGGTACCTCATCTTTCCATCCCTGAGGGTGGCCATTGCCTCCTCGATACCACTCTCAGTGAGCGGGAACTCCATGGTGATAGGCTTGATGCCGTGCAGCGCGGAGAAAGCCAACATGCTGCGGTGAACAGCGCGGGCAGCAACAACAGAGCCCTGGACGGTGATACCCTTGGCGATAAGAGCCATGTGGTTGATAGCAAAGTCGTCATCGGAAACGGTCATGGGGAAGATGATGGCGTTGTTGTTGAGGACAGGGAGCATGAGCTTCCAGTCGGGCATAACGGAAGTGGTGACGAGGAGAGCGTCAACAGGGCGGCTGACGCTGATCTCAGACTTGCCCTTCATGGCGATGAACTCCTTAGCGCCGAGCTTCATGGCCTCGTCCTTCTTGCTCTCAGATCCGGAGAAGACGACGACGTCGCAGCCCATCTTGGCGGCGTACTGGATGGCCAAGTGGCCGAGACCGCCAACACCCATGACACCGACGCGGTCGGTGGGCTTGACGTTGTAGGTGTGCAGGGCGTTGAAGACGGTGGCTCCACCGCACATCAGGGGTGCGGCTTCAGCGTCGGTGAGCTCATCGGGGACCTTGAAGACGAAGGCCTCGCGCTGGACGGAGTGGGAAGCAAAGCTGCCCTGGTCGAGGTTGGCCATGCCGTACATTTGGCGCTCGCTGCAGTAGGTTTCCTGGCCTGTGAGGCACTTGTCGCAGCGGCCGCAAGAGTTGTGCTCGTATCCCCAACCGACGCGGTCACCCTTCTTCAGGTCCTGCACGTTGGGTCCAAGCTCTTCTACGACACCGACACCCTCGTGGCCGAGAGCCATGTCGGCTCCCTTGTAGTGCTCATCGGTTCCGCAGAGACCGGAGGCGGTTACTTTGATGAGAACCTGGTCGTTCTCGAGGTCGGGCTTGGTGGTTTGCGACTTGACAATCTTGCTCTCCTTGGAGCCCTTGTAGACGGTGAAAGAAGGCATCTTGGTGGTAGTGTGTTGTGATGTAGTATACGTTTAAAGGTGATGTAATAGAAAAACTTTTGGGTATCTTGTTGCAAAAGAGATGAAAGTTGATGTGATGTTGATTGATGTGTTCACAAAGACTACCGCGACTTACTGTTATATATGATTAGAGCCAACCTACAGCTCATTCTTACATGTGCCATGAATGCCGCTGGAGCTACGTTCGAAAACTTCTCCCCCATGACGTCGCGTATTGATAATGCACAGGGTCTCTGGGTCCAGGGTCTGGATATCGCCGTGCCTTACACATTGGGTGCGTCGACCGCCACTAGAAAACGTGGTTTTGTGGGTCGCATCTCCAGCATGACAATTTTGAGATCAGCCGAATCCGGTATAGTCGCTTCCTCATGCTGCATCTTCGAGGTGTTGTCAGCTGTGATGCAGCTCATGGATATCGGCTATGTCGTCGCGATTACGCGTTGTCAGCACAGCATGCAGCCTACTCCTGCACATTGTAAAAAGCATCGAGCTGCGAAATCCAGAAGACGCCTCGGGCAGCATCGGCCAATCATCCCACCACAGTTGCAGGACTGCCGAAATGCCCGCAATCGTGCGACGTGCGTCTGGAACGTGTCGGAATGATATGGATTTCCATGTGCCAGGCGCCGCTTGTGTGGAGCAAAAGACGTTGTTCCTGACCCCAATGCGGATGCGGCTCTGCGCAAAGAGTCCATGACGTAGGTGGTCCCGGGGCGTCCGTCCGATGATTGCGCTACATCACCGAAACTGTTCGGCCCTTCCCACGCCTGATTCTCAGAGGCCGGTGCGAGTCTTATCCGATCGTAATGCGCATTACTGATCTTTCGTTTGGCGGCTACTTGTTGCCGAGTCCATGGGGATGAAGGTGTGGCGTTCGTCGGGGCCCAGGTGCAGCGGCCTGGAGTTGCGACTTTGGGGACGATGCCACGAGATGCTTACCCAACCCCGAAACTTTCGGATCGCAAGTCGGAGTGGTGATAAGCGATAAACTACGATAGAGATTCTTGTCGTCGGTAGTGCATTCTATGCAGTCAAGTTTAAGCCACCCCGGCGCAGGCCTCCAACTGCAGACTCGAAGAGCAGGATGTGGAAAGCGTGTCAGCCCATGCGGCTGCAAGATAAGTTAGACTCTAGTATACATACCTAAGGTCTACGACCATTCAGATCTTACTCTCGCCTTTGGAGCCGTGCCGAAGGTAGTGGAAGAGGTCGTTGTTGAAGTTTAAAGCTTTTCGAGCGGTCAAAATTTGACGAAAGCATACCTAAGAAAGTACCATGATGGATCAAGAGAAACCCCTTCCACGCGTACGCCCCGACACCGCCACGCATGCATCTCATCGATCCAAACGACGCTGAAGTTCAAGGTCTACTCAAGTTGTAACAAACTGAACGCTGTGTAGCTAAACTCAAATCAATGGACTTCGTCAAACGAACCGACGTACCTAGGTATCCCGTCGACACAGAGATTCGAACATCAATGACAAGAAGCTGAACAGTTTTAAGAGTCCGTTGTTACTATGTGTTGAACTAGTGACAATCCAGGCTCATCCTCTCCTACCGACATACTAGCAACAACGCCAAACCCTTTGAAACTTACTTCCAAGCTACAATTTCTTCCCACAAACCACGTCTCTAACAAACAATTTTATATCCCCTCTTAAAGACCGGCACAGGATCACACGTCGGCGGCTCGTTAAGCACATACGGCGCTCCCGCCTCTTCCGAACAATCCGCTGAGTCGAAGAGTTGCACTACACACCTCATCAGCCCTTGCAGTCACCATGCTGGGTCAAAAGTTTACTTACACACGCAGCCTTGGAGAGCGATGTCTAGTAATTTGAGACTTGCCTGGTTTGGCTCGAGAGGATAACACTCATCAGACACGATGTTGTCGTGTGGGAATGAGAGACAAGGGTTACTGGCTGCACAGTCAAAGCACGACCATGATGTGAAGGATCCAGCATTGGGAATGGGGTTGGGGACGGGATTACGGTGGTTAGGTGTGAGGGGGAAGGCGAGGGTTGTCGCTGCAAGTGCGAAGGTGATGGCGAAGAGATGCATGATTGAAGGTGTGGATGAGTTCAGGATGATCGGGATGATTGTGTTGAAAGCGATGAACTGTAGAGGTGTTACCTGGAGTGGCTTTATATGTGCTTTCTCGCGATAAATATGGGAATGGCGAGACAACAGATGATCAGCTTCGACCATCGACGTCTTGGTATCTCCAGGTCAAATTCATGTGACTCCAGTATACGACCAATGTGCTCTCTATACTCCCTGACGACTTCCTCTCACCTCATCCTTGGGCTGTAGTAGAAGGAGCTTGGCAAAGACATTCTTCTCACATGTTGCGCGGTCAAATTCTCTTGCAGTAAGCGCTTGCTCTAGATGGAAGTAGCACATCATACAAACGAAATCCTCAGATCATTTTTTTTCTACCTGCTCACATCACATAACGCCTTAGCGATGGTCACGTTACAATCGAAGATGGTGATAGTAGCGACCTGATATATTCCAATACAGCCTAGCTCGCACCGTGTGTTGAACACGGCGAACGAGCCGGACTAAATCTAATAAGCCAGATCGAAAAGGTGTTGTAATGACTGTCTTCCGAATACGCCCTCTCAGTTATGCACGCTGTTGCCAGCTCCCTTCCGTCTAATAATCAACTCGTAACTGCGTCTCCCCAAATAGCTGGATGGATATAACCTGCTTAAGAGCAGATAGCCTGGAAGGAATACTTCTGCGACACATTGATGCAGCCGCTGGGAGCAGTGGTGAAGACGTCGGTTGGCGCACCAGTGCAGTTGGTGGAAGTGTAGAACTCGACTATTCCCATTAGATCACGATCATTCAGAATAAACGTTGTCGCGACTCACGGCGGCAGTTGGCACGAGTCTTCTCCAAGAAGAAGACCTTGGCGCTCTGCAAGGGCAGGTACTTGCACTCGTTGCTGTGGATGTTCTGCTCCTGAACGGCCTGGGGTGAGCAGTCGGAGTTGGCGTAGGCCTCGACTGAGGAGTGGGTGTTAGTGGGAACGGTAGTCTGCGTAGATGTGGAAGGGACGTACAAGAGGCAACGTTCTCAAGCGAGATCTGAGCGACGGCAACTGAGGCCATGATGGCGGCGACGATGGTGGAGGTGAACTGCATCTTGAAGATTTGGGTTTTTGGTGGAGCTAAAAGATATTGAATGTAGTGATACTGTAGAAGATGCTGTCGTGGTTGTCCTCCCAAATGCACCCTTCCTTGGAGGTATTATACCTCATTTCTTCAGTGCTCTCGATTTCCTCCGTCATCTCCTCTCGCCCGGGGCGTTTGTTGGAGTTCATCGTGGCTTGTTGCGGTGAGAAGAATACGAGCGTAATTCATCATCATGTCTGATGGGCTTGCCATGCAAGTGACCGTACACAGGCAGACATATGCCTCATCGCCGGACAGCTTGCGAAAGAGCGGGCGTTGTTGGCAGTATGAGGAAGTTTGCTCGTACACCTGACGCCGTGGCTTCAGTTTTATAAGCACAACGCTGACCAGTGTGATCGCTGAGTATGGCGATGTGGGATCCACTGGCCGAGAACTTTACTTGTACATAAGTCAATAGGAGCAATTCGTATCGACGTGACTGATGGTCAGTGGCTTGCGGGCCGCTGCTGCAAGAGGTCCGTCCGCGGGAAAA